CTCGCCCAGCAGCGTATCGGCGGGCGGCGCGGTCGGCGGGGCGGCGGCGGAGCCCGCGCCCCCCGACGGGCCGGAGGCGGGCGCGCCGGCGGTGGCCGAGGCCGTGGCGCCGGGCTCGCTGGCGCTGCTGGAGCCCGACGTGAGCCCGCCGCCGCCGCCCCGGCAGTCGCCGCCCGACGTGTTCGCCGGCTTCGCGCCCCACCCCGCGGCCCTGGGCCCCCCGACGCTGCTGGCCGAGCAGATGAGCGTGATCGGCAGCCGCAAGAAGAGCGTGAACATGACCGAGTGCGTGCCCGTGCCCAGCTCCGAGCACGTCGCCGAGATCGTGGGTCGCCAGGGTGAGTGGCCGCCGTCTGGGGCGCCGCCCCCGGGGTCCCCGCGCCTCGCGCCTTGGGGAGGAGGACGCCTCAGCCCAGCCCTGCCCGCGGCCGGACGCCAGACCCTGGCCACGCCCCGCGTGGGCCCGGGCCTCAGTGGCCGCTTGTGCGCCTTTGTCCTGCCGCGGGCCGCGCGAGAAAGTTAGGCACAGCCCGCGCTCCTCCCCTCCACGCTCCGGCCCGCCGCTGCCTTTGTCTGGGCGCCTCCGGCCGCGTCAAGCCCCTCTGTGCGGCGCCTCTGCGCAGGCCCTGGGTCGCCTGCGGTGGAATCCCAAGAACCAGGGGGCCCGGCTGGGCGGTGGGTGCTTCACTCCCGAAGCAGGCACGGGGCGGGGCTCGCTAGGGCTTGGGGGTGTCTCCGGGGCGGGGCGGGGGGGGGGGGTGCTCAAGCAGGTCAAGAGAGAAGTTTGGCGTACAGAGAGAGTGCCCATCTCCACTTGCCAGCCTGGGGGCCCTTCCGAGGGTGGGGGGAGCACAGGATGAGGGAGGATCTCCACCCCGCTTGAGGATTTGGGGACATGCTTTGCTTAAGGACCAGCTGGGAAAGCCGTCCGGAGGTCCAGACTCCTAGCCGTCCCTCTGGCAGGCCCAGGGCAGCAGGCCCGGGGTGTGAGGGTCCCTGCAGCAGCATTGTCAAGAGTCCCTGTGGCCGCCCCATTGTTCTCTTTGTTAGAGAGCCGGTCTGAGATTTGCAGGGTGACATCAGGCCGGCCGCTGCTCATTGGCCCTGGAGCTGCAGCGGCGGGGCGGGCTGGCTGAGGGTGGTGGGCAGTGCTCCTCCGGACACACGCCCACCCACCCATTTAGTCACTGGCCCCCAGCCCCAACTTTCTCCTGCCTTCTGCCTGTAGCTCCCTGTTCCCACTCCCTGCTTCTGGGCTAGGTTCTAGAACTTGGGGTGGGGTCTGGGCGGGGCTTGAGGTGGAGCTCCAGGACACTGGGGCTGGCCTTTGGGGGTTAGCCTTTGGGGGCTCTGTAACAGGAGCCAGAGACGGGGGGGGGGGGATTGAATTGCTAGGTGGCTTGTCTCCCTTGCCACCCGGGGGGCGCAGAGGACCACAGGGAGGCTCCGGACACTGCCCTCTCCGAGTTCCGAGTGGGAGGGGGTGGTTTGGCCAGTGAGTCCTCTGGCTTTGGGTGCAGGTGCAGCTGATCGCGTGTCATCCCCCCCATCTGGACACCAGGAGGGCCAGGTGTGGTGCTGGGCCAAGGAACCAGGGCTTGGGACCGGGGGAGGGGACAGGTGGTCCTCGGAGCCCTGTCAGCTGCCTCCCGCGAGCCAGCACAGCAGGATTGCAGGCCTGACCACTCCCTCCACCTCCCTGCCTGCCTCGGCCCCTTCCCTGCCGCAGTCACCCGCACCTGCGCCGGGCTGTGTGTAGGACCGCTGCTGTGTGCAGACCGTCCAGGCACCTTCGAGGACGAGGGGACGGCCGTGGAAACCCAGCCTGGGAGCTGTTGTCCGGAATCCCTAGGCCGATTTGCCAGCCAGGGGAGCACGGGGGGGCGTGTTCCCTGTGAACACGAGTGTTCTGGTGCACCTCAGGGTCCTCCAGGGAGGCTGAGTCTGCCCCAGTGGAGGCAGGAGCCACGCAGGGGCCTCCACACCTATGCCTGGGGCTGGGGAATCGGCCCCACCCGACCTCCCAGGTGTGCACTTCGGTGCTCGATTACTGGGTGCTGGCCTGGGGTTTTGCTGGTGGCGGAGAGGAAGGCAGGCCCCGAGGGGTGCAGACGGGGCTGGCTCTGTGTCTCTGGGCAGATGAGCTCTCCACTCCATGATGGGGAGAACCCCACAGCATTTCCCTCTGGGGTTTTTGTGAGGATCCTCCAGTAAGAGGTCCTAATCCCAGCCCTGGGCTGCTGCACAGTGCCCCCCCCCCGAGGGGGGTGCAGGGTCCAGGGGAGGGGAGCACCAGTGCCAGGACACGGTGGCCCCTTTGCCAGCCCTTGACTCTCCCAGCTCTAGGACCATCTGTGGCTCCCATCTTCTCCCACCCAGGTGTCAAGCACAGCCTGGAAGAGTCTTTGTGACTCAATCCTGACCCCTCCCTTCCTCCAGTCACCCGTCCAGTCTCCCTCTTGTGGGTTCCTGAACACGAAGCCCGTCCCGTCTCCCCGTCCTGGCTCTCACTGGGCCAGAAGGCCCTCCTCCTCTCTCAAACCCCGGGTCCTCAGCCACTCCATCCCCTAGAGGGGAGGCCGGAGTCACCCAGACCTGGGGTCTTCCCTTTCCGGGACGCTCAGTTCCTCTTCTCCGAGCTGGTTTTTCCATCCTAGAAGGGTCCCTGCAGCCCCTGGGAACAGGATAGGTGGTCAAAGCCCCTGCAAGTTCTCTCCTCCCTGGGGCTGAGTGGCCCAGAAGGTGCCCTGCACGGGAAGCTCAACCTGCCCCTCCTCACGGAGCCTCAAGAGACCCCCTGGAGAAGAGCCTCTGTAGCTCGAGGTCACAGGAGGCAGTGATGTGGGCTGAGCCGGGCCCGCCGGGCTGGGATTTGAGCCTCAGTTGCTCCGGCTCTGTGTGCCCTGCAGGGAACAGGAGGCGGGGAGAGAATCTTCTCCCTTCCAAGACTCTGGGCCGGGGGCGGGTGCGGCGGGGAATGGCCCCATTTTATAGACAAGGAAAACGGAGACTGAAAAGAGTCCGCAGCAGTCACCTGGAAGGCTGGTGCCCACTTGCCCCGGGTGTGACTTTGGGCCAGGTCTTCCCGGGAGCCTCCCGCTAGGTGCGCCCAGCGGGCGTGTGTGCATGTGTGGGGCAGGGCCAGGTGGTGAGCACCCTGCCTCTTGCCCGGAAGGCTGGGTCAGGAGTGAGTGAGGGAAAGATGCCCCTGGGGGGCCCCGTGCCGGCAGTCCCCAGGGTGCTTCTGTGTCTGCTGCTGTCAGGTGGGGGCCGGCGTGCTTGGACTGGCCCCACTCCGCTGGAGAAAGCTGGCGGCACTCAGGGCTTTCCCTTGCTGACCCCCATGCCTGGCCCCCCTCCCTCGGGTCTGGGGTGCTCTTTCTGGAGGCTGGGGACGTCACAGGGGTGTCAGCGGGCCGCCGTGCATCTGGCTTGGGGGCCCCTTGTGTTGGCAAGCGTAGACCTTCCTTGCATCTGGCGGCCCCTGGGCTCCAGCTCCTCCCACAGACCCACCCTGCTGTGATTGGGGCCAGCGGCCCACTGGGTTTGGGGCGCCGGTCATTGTGAGGGTTTGTCTCCACCCCATCCTTCCAGATCTCTGCCTTGGCCGGGAGCCCTTCCCTGGCACGCATCCTTCCGGGGGGAGCCCTTCTGCTCCCCCTCACGGCCTTGAGGTTTCATTGATAAGTGTACCTGTGGTTCCCGTGTGGGGTCCCCCAGGCAGTGCCTGGAGCGCCCGAGTTCCTCAACACCCAGCATGCAGGGGGCTCAGGACCCCAGAATGAGGTCACATGAGTGATGGGACCAGGCTCCACATGGGGACCCAAGGCGCCCTGTTTGAAGGCAGGGCCCTGCTGCAGTGAGGAGGGAGTTGACCGAATGGGGGGCAGTCACCCCCATTTCCAGGCACACCTGCTTGTGTTGGTGGCCAAGCCCAGGGGTCTGCCTTTCAGCCTGTCGCAGTGATCCGTGGTAGCTGCAGGGTCCCTGTGGGGCTTGGCCGCTGAGCTCGCCCGCTGTCGCCCATCCGGCTCGTCCCTGCCAGGGCAGGTGTGGGTCTGGTCTGCTCTCACTGCCCCAATTTCTCGGACCTGGCAGTCCCCCCCACCCCCCATACTCTGCCACTTCTTAGGGTCGTGGCGTGGCCAGGGCTTGGGTCGATGCGCGTCATAGCCGAAATGCAGCTGGTGAATTGGCGTCCTCTGGGCCCCCGAAGGCTCCAGTCGGGGCTACCCTCTGGGAGGGGCAGGACGGGGCCAGTTCGTGTGCCTGGGGACAAAGGCTGCTTCTCTGCGCAGAGGCGGTCCCGCACACACCTGGCTTCATCCCCCGCCCTTTCTCCAGGCCTTGCCTCCCTGTCGCCCACATGGACCTGCGGGGAGTGGACGCTTGGACTGAGGCTAGGGTCCCCCGCCAGCTACCTTTAAGGCTCATGAAGGCCGGGTATCTGCCTGGGGTGCTGGGTCTGGGCCCTTCTCTTCCTGGGAGGAAATGGAGGTGCAGGACAGCCCTTTGAGGGGCCGGTGTCATCCCAGTGCCGAGGCCCTTCCTTATGGCCCTCCGGCCTGGGGGAGTTCGGAAGCCACACAGGAGGAACTGAGAAGTGTGTGCGGGGCCCCATGTGGTCCCCGTGGCTTCTTGGAGGAAGGGGCGCTGGGCTGTGACTTGATGCAGAGAAAGGGGTGCAGGCACTGTTGCAGGTGGGAAAGGTCGTGGGGGTCACCCAGGGCTGGGGAGCAGCAGGAGAGGGAAGGACTGAGGCGTGGGGTTTGAAAGCTTCCCCCCCCACACAGCTACCATGTGGGGAGGGAACCGCCGGGACACAAAGTGGAGGCAGGTCCGGGTCAGGGTGTGTTTGCGGGTTGCCGGCGAGAGAGAGGACCCCGGGCGGCGGGGGCGGGCAGTGGCTCAGGACCCGGGAGATGGGATAGAAGCCAGCGTGCCCACGGCCCACCCTCCCTGGGAGATTTCTCACCCACTCACTTGGCTCTGCTTTGGCTCAAAGCCCTGGATGGGGCTGCTGTCTCCGGGCACGGGGTGAGGCCGCCCCCCACCCCCAGACGCCCGCTCTCATCTCCCAGTGCTCCCTGAGGCCCAGTGGCCAAGCTGGGCCCACTAACTTTGTATCTTCTGCTCCGGGAAAAGTTAGCAACACTGTTCTCTCTGTGCAGCCTCTGTATTGAAACAATGTCCCTGTGTCCCTCCAGCCACCCCAGAGCCCAGAGGGGGGTCCTCCAGACTCGTGGGCCGGGACTTAAGATGTCTCAAAAGGCCCCGGGGGTGGGAGTATCAGACGCCCCAGCCTGCACGCAGACCCCCCTGCACCCCTCCAGGGGTCAGACCCCCAGTCCGAGCAGTGACAAAGTGCAGTGCTGTGTCCGTGAGCGTCCCCTCAGAAGCTGGGTCTGTTGGTCAGAGAAAATCCTGGGTGGTTTCCACAGTCTGATCCTGGGCTGTCCCGCCCGTCGGCCGGGGAGCTAGTGTCCGGGGCGTGCATTTGTGTCCTCGGACTGAGCGGCCACAGCAGACGGCTGCGAATGACAGGAACGAGTGTTCGGAGCATTCTGGGGCGGCTGTACAAAATCCAGCTGTCGCCGGGCCACGCTCCCTCCAGCGGCTCCGACACCACCTGGGCCGTCTTGCTCTCCCAGCTTCTGGTGGCAGCTGGCAGACCTGGTGTCCCTAGGCTTGTGGCTGCCTCGTGCTGATCTCTGTCCCCGTCCTCCCAGCATTCCCCATCTTCTCTGTGTCTTTGTGTCTCCCCCATAAGGACACCTGTCGCTGGGTTCAGGGTGACCCTATTCCAGTACAACCTCGCGTTAACCTATTACACCTGCAAGACATTGCCAAGTGAGGTCCTGTCCACAAGTACCAGGGGGCCATGAACCCGGGGGAGACACTCTTCAGTCTGCAGTGGGGTCCTCATTGTCTCTTGCCTTTTTGCCAAACCCACCACCACCTTCAGGTCTGGGATCGGAAGGGAAACGGAAAGCTGTGTGTGTGAGGAGACAGGGTGGGGAGGACCCTGGGGAGGGGCCTCGCATCCTCACTGTGTCTCCCCCCACCCACCCACCGCCCCAGGGTGCAAGATCAAGGCTCTGCGTGCGAAGACAAACACGTACATCAAGACGCCGGTGCGCGGGGAGGAGCCGGTGTTCATCGTGACCGGCCGCAAGGAGGACGTGGAGATGGCCAAGCGGGAGATCCTGTCCGCCGCCGAGCACTTCTCCGTGATCCGCGCCACGCGCAGCAAGGCCGGCGGGCTGCCGGGCACCGCGCAGGGGCCGCCCAACCTGCCGGGACAGACCACCATCCAGGTGCGCGTGCCCTACCGCGTGGTGGGGCTGGTGGTGGGGCCCAAGGGCGCCACGATCAAACGCATCCAGCAGCGGACCCACACGTACATCGTCACGCCCGGGCGCGACAAGGAGCCGGTGTTCGCCGTGACGGGCATGCCCGAGAACGTGGACCGCGCGCGCGAGGAGATCGAGGCGCACATCACGCTGCGCACCGGCGCCTTCACCGACGCGGGCCCTGACAGTGACTTCCACGCCAACGGCACCGACGTCTGTCTGGACCTGCTCGGAACGGCCGCCGGCCTCTGGGCCAAGGCCCCCAACCCGGGCCGGCGGCCCCCCGCACCTGCAGCCGGCCTCCGCGGGGACGGGGCTCTGGGCGCCTCCGGGGGCCCCGAGGCCTTCTACGCGGGGGGCCGCGGGGGGCCGCCGGTGCCCGATGCGGGCCCCGCCAGCCCCTACGGAGGCTCGGGCAATGGGGGCTTCACCTTTGGTGGGGACGGCCCGGGGGCCCCTTCGGGGCCGCCCGCCCCCGAGGACTGTGACTTTGGCTTCGATTTCCTGGCGCTGGACCTGACCGTGCCCGCCGCCGCCACCATCTGGGCGCCCTTCGAGCGAGCTGCGCCGCTGCCCGCCTTCAGCAGCTGCTCGGCCGTCAACGGGGCCTCCGCGCCCCCCGCCCCCGGCGCCCGGCGCAGCAGCGGGGCCGGCACGCCGCGCCACTCGCCCACGCTGCCCGAGCCCGGGGGCCTGGCCCTGGAGCTCCCGCTGGCCCGCCGCGGCGCGCCCGACCCAGTGGGCGCCCTGGCCTGGCGGCCGGCGCAGGGCGCGCTGTCGTCCTTCTCCGGCGGCGGCGCCGGCTTCCCCGCGGCCGCTTCGCTGCCCAGCGGCTCCTCGGCCTCCGCGTGCCCCGCCCTGGACTCCGGCGCCCCCGAGGGCGGCCGCAAGCCCCCCGCGGCCGCACCATCGGCCGCCCCGACCCCGACCCCGGCCGCGCCCGCCCCGGCCTCAGCGCGGGAATGCGTGGTGTGCGCCGAGGGCGAGGTGATGGCCGCGCTGGTCCCCTGCGGCCACAACCTCTTCTGCATGGACTGCGCCGTCCGCATCTGCGGCAAGAGCGAGCCCGAGTGCCCGGCCTGCCGCACGCCCGCCACCCAGGCCATTCATATCTTTTCGTAGCGGTGCGGCTCGCCGCCGCAGGCCCGGGGGGCGGCGCGGAGGGGGCGGCGGGGGCGGCGGGGGCGGTGCGTTGGGCGCGGTGGGGCCAGCCTTCACAGACCAGCTTTAACTCGGTCCCAGGCGTGGAGACGGCTGCCCGGCGGCATCTCAGTTCCTAACAAATAAACAGTATTGAATCGACAGGTTAAAATAAAACAGAGAGAAAAGGTCTGTTTGCACTTTTTATTTAAGACTCCCCGCCCGCCAGGGTGATCTTTTTAAGGGGTAAAAAATATAGATATAGATATGATTTTTACAACTCTCGGTTGTCCGTCTTTGGGACCTGGGTTTCTGACTCGATGGCGCTGGCATCGGAGGCCGCCGCAGCCTCTGCGAATCCCCACAAGGAGAAGGGCCACGTTTTTACTCCCTCTGCGGGCTGACCGGCTGCCCTTCCAAGTGTCGGCAGGGGACAGGCTGGAGGGGGCGGGGTGGGGGGCGGGGGGCCGACCAGAAATTTCTAACTTTGTGTTTTTAATTATTAATCTCCTCCTTCTGTGGTTTCTGTTGTCAGTTTTTAAATTTTTTTAAATTGTGTTTTTTTTTTAAGCTTTTACTTTTTACCTCTGTGTATATGTAGGGAATTTATAGGGAAATATGTACTTTATGGAATAAATTTTAAGAACTAAAAATATATTTTATTTTAAATAAAGTAACGGACCTTTAATCTTACACAGCTAAATTACTGATTATATATTTGCTGAGCTGACTTAAGGGTTCAGAAAATTGTATCAAGAGTTTTATTTTTTGACTTCAAAGCCTTAATAAAGTCTTTTTACTACATGTGAGCCCTTGGCATGGTGTGGGGTGGGTGGGCTCGGGAAAGGGAGGATCTGGGGTGCTCAGAGCCAGCCCCCTCGTCCCCTAGTCTTGCAGATAAAGGAATTTGGACTCAAGATATACCCCATGTCCAAACCCAGGCTCTTCTGAAAGCCCAGCACTGTGCCTGGTCCCAGACGAGGGCACTGGGCCTGGAGGGGAAGGCGGTGCAGCCTGGCCCCTCTTTTCCTGCGAGCCGGCCATGGCGCCGGTAGTGGCCGCTGTGGAGAGATGGGGTGCCGGGCTCTGTGATGTGTGGGTGGGGGGGCGGCGACTCCCAGTCCTGTTGTGCAGAATGGGAAACAGATCTGGAAATCCCACTCCCAGAAAGAGTTCTAACATCTCCCGGTCCCCAAAGGACATCTGAGTGATGGCCACACGTGCCATCCCTTGCTCACTGGGTCTAGTTGGGAGCAGAGGACCATGCCCATGGGGCCACTGGACAATTCGGGGTGGGGCTGACTCCAGACTCAGGGCTATGGGATTGTGGGTTGAACCACTGCAGCCGGTGGGTGCCACCAGAGTGAGCGGAGGGTGGCTCTGAGGCACAGAACTGCTCCAGGGACAACCTGGGGGCCTGGGGGCTGCTGGCTTGAGTGGGCATGGAGGAGGGGTGTGCAGAACAGCCTGCTGGGGAAGCTGGGAAGGCGTGGCGGCGCAACCTGGAGGGCCTCTAAGAGGAGGCGAGGGGCTCAGGAAAACAGGTGGGGCAACAGGAGGGGCGCCCCACGGGCCTCGTCTCCAGTGAATGGGGGCCACAGCAGCCCCTCCAGCTGAGGGTCAGCCCCTGGAGGCTGCAGGACCTGGGGTCAGTCTTGAAGAGCCACGCACACCCGGGGGTTCCAACCCACTCTGACTGGAGTGTCCCCATCTGTGAAGCGGGGGAGCTCCACGCTCCAGCACTGGTGGGGACTGTGGGTGAGGCGGTTGAACCGTGGGCCCAGAACCCGTGAACGGACCTTATTCACAAAAAGGGTCTTTGCAGATAGAATGAAGGACCTTGAGGTGAGCTTCCCCAAATGAGGGCTGGCCCGAAGTCTAATGACGAGTGTTCTTAGAAAGGACATACAGAGGGGGAGTCAAGGCTCAGACACAGAAAGAAGCCGTGCAAAGACGGAGGTGCGCCCAGGGGCGCCTGGAGCCCCCAGAAGCTGGAAGAGGCAGGGAGGACCTTCTCCCAGAGCCCCCAGAGGAAGCCAACAATGAGGGAACAGATGCCTATTGTTGGAAGCTGCCAACTTCGCAGCAATGCGTTACAGCAGCCACGGGGACCAGAACACAGAGCCTGGGGTCTGGCCCACACTTCAGCGGGGTGGTTGGACATGGCTGGTGTGGCACCTGGTGAGCCGGGGTGAAGTTAGACCACAGCCACCATCCTGCAGGAGGCTATGGAGGCCGAGGGAGGCGAGAGTGCGGAGACCACTCCCCCTGACGTTTTGGACACAAAGAGAAAACAAGCAGCCCCTCAAAGGGCTGAGGGGTGGAGGGAAAGACAGGACATCAGGGGTGTTGAGAGTCAGTCCTTGGAAAGGAGGTGGGGTCTGGAGCCCAAACAAGGGGTTTTTGAAAGATGCAATGGGGAGGGCCCAATCTGAGGACATTCTGTCCTAGAACTGTCCAGAGATGTCTGAGAGCTGTGCTCGCTCCCCGCTGAGGGGTTGTGAAGCTGATCACTGGGCGGCCAGAGTCACTGCGGCCCTTGGGGAAAGCTGAGAGATGGCCAGAGGTGGATGCTCGAGCTTGCTGTTTGATGCCCTGGATCCAGCTGTGCCTGAAGGCAGCACATCCTGACCTCTCAGTTATGAGTGCCAGTTAAGTCTCCTGCTTTGCTTAAGCCACTGTAAGCTGGAGTAACTCAAACTCAAAACCACCTACAGGGGCCATATTCCTGCCCAGAAAGCTGGGGAGCATTTCCTGGGGTGAGGGGTACTCGGCCAAAGCAAAGCAAACACGCTATGCATTCAGCTTCTGCACCAACAGACACACTCAGGGAAGCCAAAGTGTGAGTCAAGCTTCCATTGCCCTTGTCACTCATCTCTCTTGGTTCAAGGGCTCAGCACATCGAGGTGACCCTTGTCCAGTGTCTTCTGAGAAGGCCTCTCTTCTGGGTCTTACCAGATTTCATGGAGACGATGAAGGATAAGCCTGTGGGTCTCCCCATCTGTGAGACTGACCCACCTACAAAGTGGGCTCAGTGTGGGAATGATATGTCACCTGCATAACATGTGTGTCCCTGGCACGTCCCTGGGACAGGAATCATGTCACCCCGTGCCCACCACATGTAGGGAAAAACAGAAGCTCTAGAGACAGACATCTGAGTCCCATCCTGGCCTACCACTGTCCTGCTTCCTGCCCATGGGCACATTATCTCCCTGACCTCGGTTTTCTGATCTGTAAAATGGGGGATTAATCCCCTGTGGCTGAGTACAGAGCCTGGCGACGTTAAATGTGGGCCTGCGGCAGTCCCCAGCTGCCATCTCTGCCCTCACATGAACACATCGTGGCGGGATCAGTTCAGACATAACCCTCCGAGGCCAGGAGCCGCTGCACAAACGGAACGGGAGAAGAGCAGGCAGTGCCTGAAACTGGGAGGCGCTCCGTACTCGCTGGGCGGTTGGATGAGTAGATGGATGGTGGGTGAGTGGAGGGAGGGACGGATGGATGGTGGACAGACGGATGGACAGACGGACACACGAAAGGATGGATGGCAGGTGGATTGGATGTTTGATGTGTGGATAAGTCGGCACTTCCGAGGAGGAGAGACGAGTACTGCTTGGGAATCCGGGGGAGGCTAGATAGAGCGGTTTGCTGGTCGGGGGGAGACGTGCAGCAAAGGCTTGGAAGTGGTATGGGATCGCTGGTCACCTTCAGGGAACAAAGAGTCGTCCGAGGGGCAGGTTCAGCTAATGGGAGAGAAGGTTGAAATGTTTAACTGGAACATGGCCTTGGGGCTCCTTCCATCTCATCCACCCTAGTCAGGCCTTCCCGGGTGGCCCCCACTTTTGATGCAGCCTACCTCAGCCCTGGAGCCTCCCCATTTCAAGGAGAACGCCAGGCCAGCCCACGCTGGATGTCAGCGGCCACCAGAATGTGAGTGTGAACGGCTGCATGCGGCTGATGGCTCGCACACCGGGCAGCACCACTCTAGAATGTTCCAGTCCAGCATCATCTAGTGATGGGACCACGATGGGAATGTTCTAGATCTGCGCTCTCCCTCACAAGAGCCACCCGCCCCACCGAGTGACTGAACATCAGAAATGTGACCCGTGCAATTCAGAAAACAAACCTTTGCTTTTGCTTTAATTCAATTTAAATAGCCACAGAAAAAACAGGGAAAACATCTGGGGAAAGTACTTTGCTCTGCGGATTTTGAAATACTTTTAATCCAGGGAAGCAGGAAGGCCAGAAGGCCTGGAAGCTGACGTGCCTGCGCCCGTGGCAGAGGTCCTGATCAGAGTGTCTCTAAAAACCAAGGCCACAGTGGTGGGGTGACCCTGCGTTCCCGGGCCGGCGTCCTCACCAGTCCTCACGAGAGGGCGGCAGAGGGCGGGGGTCCCGGAGACCGGCAGACCCCGCGCTGCCGGCGGGGAGGACGGAGAGGGGCTGCGGACCAGGAAGAGTCAGGAGCCGGGTCTCCTCGGGGCGCCAGGGACCAGCCCGGCCCGCGCCGGGGGGTTTTGGGACTTCGAGCCCCGAACTGCCTGAGGGTCGGTGTGAGCCGAGTTTGCCGAGAGTCGGGAGGTCGTCCCAGGAGCCTCGCACAGCCGGGGCAGAGTCACCGCGAAGCACTCCGGACCCGGCTGAGCCCGGGGCCTGCGCAGGGAAAGTACAAAAGACGCCAGCACCCCTGGGGACCTCCGGAAGCCCCGACGCTAGGGGCGCCCCAGGGGCACGGGAGCAGCTCGGAAGGGAAGGGGCGCTCAGGAGCCGCGGCCGCAGCAAGTCCCCCCGAAGGCGCAGGGCCCCGGCGAGCGGGGCCTCGGGCGCACGGCTCGGTCGGACGCGCCGCCGGACCTCCGCGGGACACGCTTCCCGCGGACACGGGTGGCGGCTGTCGCGACGGCTGGTCCTGGGCTGGAATCAGATCGAGCCGGACGAACGTTTGCTTGCTGAACTCGGCGCGGAGCGCGGCGGCCGGGGGGCCGGATCCCGGACTCGCAGGGACGCCCCGCGCCGCAGAGCGCCCGCCGG